TGACCATTGTGGCAACCCAATTATTCATTAAATCTTTGTAATCAAATTCACTTAAACTTAATGTCTTAAATTATTGGCCTTATAAATAACTTATGGCTTGTACTTTCATAACCTTAAATGGGCCGAGCTTCCATAGTTCGTTTCTTAAATGGGCTACATCAACAAAATGAAGAATATAAAATTCGGGACATTACAATAGCACCTTGTACTGGAAAGTTATAGTGTTGATTGATTCACTATTCGGGTTTGTGATTGATCTTTATCACAGAAATATTTAAAGATGACACTAGTACACTTGGAGTATATTGAAAGGACCATGTGTCTAGTTTCATTTATAGCATGACCGTGCAGAAAATTAAATTCTACTTGATCGTCATGTATTTCATTTAAATCATTTGATAGAGGTATGTATGTATTTTCGTGATTTTAATGGTTATTTGATTCACAAATGGGTGAGATCAATTTGATTGATCAAATATCTCAGTGAGTTGGGAACTTGAGAATGAGCGAAGTAGTGAACATGAATTCATGTCGGAAATCGTTGTCCTGAAAAATGGGTAGAGTGACTATTTAAGTTATTTTAGTTAAACGGCTAAAATACGAGTTCAATGCTTAGCGACGGCTAAATTTCGACATCTGTAGTTTGTTCACCAGATCATTGAAGAAAATGGTACTTAAGTTAGTGAGAATAATTAGAAGAACAAAATAGTTATTTATGCTCTTACCTAATTATCGATTCCCAAACATGGATAAAATACATATACAACAGATCAAAAGAAAATATTACAGATTTATTGGCTTCTATGATCTTATATATTCTGAGAATTCAGTCTTTTGCCATTGGTGGAAAAAGTAAAGATTGACAATTAGATTGGGTGATCTAGTATCGACTTGACATGATCTAATTATTGAAGTTTGGATAATATATGTCCAATCTGGTCCCTATGGTAGCTTTATAAAGTATTGTGACTTAATTATAACTATAATAAAAATTTTGGACTTAATTGTAATTACAATAAATTTTACTTAGTTGTAATTGTTGTAAATTTAATTATAATTGTAATTGAAGTTCTAGGGCTACACATGTAATTAAATTTAAACTAATTGGATGTGGATTTTAATTAAAACTCCTACTTGAATTTTAATTAAGACTCTTATTTGAAATTGGAATTATTATTATACATGATTTGAAACATCTTTATCTCTATAAATAGAGACTAAATAGACATAGAAACCAAGAACAATCATAATACATAATTCATACGTCCAGTTAAAAATTAGTTTCTTGATTTAATTAAAAGAATGTATCAATCCACCGGTGTAGTCTCCACTTTGAAGGATACCATAGAAGATTTGGAGTATCAACTTCTTAGAATTAAAAAACTGAAAGCTCGTGATCCAAAAAGTTGAAAGTTCGTGATTCAGAATTAATTTAGGAATCAATCATTGAATTTAGGTAAAAAATTTGAATATTTTATTCTTAATATAACATACACATGAACATTTAGACGTTCTTATTTATTGAATTAAAGAATTTTTTAATTTTTGGGTAATTCTGCTTCCGTATTCCAACACTTTATACACAAGTCTCCTACAATGAGTTGCTGCCACAATTATTTGTCAAAATTGAAGGACATGAGCATTTAGATGAATACTTAAAT